GGGGGCGTGAGCAGGCAGCTCGGAGAGAAGCCCTACCCTGGAATGTCTCCCAGGGTCACCTTCAAAATTGGGACCTGGAACCACAGAGGGTCCCCCAGGGCAGGGTCATGTCCCTTCAGACCCCAAGAAAAGGCTACATCCCCTCAAACCCCCTAATTCAGGGCCAAGACCCCCTCAGGCCCCCGGGATCCCTCATGTTCTAGGGCAAGGCCAAGCCCCTTCAGGGCAGAGCTACGTCCCCTCACACCCACCCACTCAGGGTGGCATCCCCTCAGACTCCAGGGCACGGCTTTCTCCAAAAGCCTCCCCCTTCACATTTCCCTCAGTCCAGAGTCCAGGAGGAAGGGCTACGCGCCTCCATTTCCTCCTCTGTCGAGGGGGGACTTTGAGCCCCCAGGACACTCACTCTGCCTGGGAGTCAGGGCATCTTGAAGCTCCTCTTGGTCGCAGGGGTGGATGAAGTCAAAGATACTGTGTCCGATGAGCTCGAGCTGCCGGCAAGGGGTGTGGAGAGGGGTCTGGAGGGAGCGGGCTCTTCCAGGGCCGTGCTCACCCTCCGCTCACTCCCATGGCCCTGCCTTAATTCAGAGCCTGCATATTTCACCTGTTCTCCTCATTCATCCACCCACCCACCCACTGACTCAACAACACTTATTCAGTACCCACGCTGGACAAACAGGAAAAAGGGGGGCTGTCTGCTCCTCTTAAAGGATTACAATCTCAGACACCCTACAAAGTAGGGTGGGGAAAGCCTGGCCTTCGGGTCACATCCAAAAAACCCAACTCAGTGCCACCCGACAGGACAGGGTAGAGCTGCCCCTGTGGGTTTCCAAGACTGTAACTCTGTACGGGCGCAGAAAGTCCCATCCTTCTCCCACAGGTCATGCCAAGCCCAAGAAATCATCCGCATCAGCTAACATCACATGCCTCCCCAAAGGGAAGCAGTTGCGTCCATCACATTAAACAAAACCAAACAGACCCGCTGAGCCGACTCATTGTGACCCTACAGGACAGGGTCGACCTGCCCCTGTGGGGTTCCAGGACTGTATGTTACTCTTTATGGGAGTAGAAAGCGCTGTCTTTCTCCCTTGGAGTGCCTGGAGGTTTCAAACTGCTGACCTTGGGGTTAGCAGCTCAATCATAACCACTACACCACCAGGGCGTCAGATTAAGAGTGAGTTAATTAAATGGCCAACTAGAGCAGGCTAATTTTCAGGTCGATAATTTCGTATGGCCAGCAAATGACATTCTACATACCCAGGAAAAAATGGTTCCCCACCCCTGTTAGAAAGGGTCGCTGCTATGAGTTGGCACTGGCTCCATGCAAAGGGGTCTGGTCTCTAAAGTGTTGAAAAGCAGGGAGGTTACTTTGAGGAGTAAGGTGCCGCTGACCCACGCCATGGTATTTTCAGCAGCCTCATCCACACACTTGAGTTAAGGGAGATGGAAGAAAAAGCAATGCACTTGAACTACAGTGTTGGCGAAGATTATTGAAAGTGCCCAAGCAAACAAGCAAATCTGTCTTGGAAGCCACAATGCTCCTTTGAGCGAGGATGCAGTTTGATCATCATTCTTCCTGGATGGGGACTGTTCCATTCTGGGTATCCCCATACACCTTGAGCTGCCTCACACCTTCGGATTGTAGCTCAAATGTCTTTTATTCCAAAGAAGCTCTCTCTCACCTGCCTCCCACCCCACGGCTGGGCCTGTTGTGCACCCCCATGTCCCCACTATGGGCTCCCATAGCCTGACCCAGTCTGAGTTTTCCTGTCTGCCGAAGGTGAGTCCCCTGAGGGCAAGACCAGAGACTGTTCAGGTCGGCCCCGGATCCCAGTATAATCGCCCAGCAGCACCACCTGTGTAGTAAGCAGGCATCTCTTCTCACCTGACTGAGGCCCAGGTGTTTGCTGACGTTCTCCGACAGGTAAGCCATGTCTCCCTCTGCCGTGAGCACCATGACGAAGCCTTCCAGGGCCTTCAGGTAGCAGGCATCCAGTGCTTCTCCCCCAGCTCCTATCTGGTTCCACTCCCCTGGAGCCGGGGCAGGGGGTGAGCGGGATTGCTCTAGTCAGCCCTGGGGGCCACTCTGGCCCACCTCCCTCAGTTACAGGTGGCCCAGGGGACACATCCGAGGGCCTTGAGTCCCAAGGAAGTGGCCAGGGTCACCAAGGAGTGAAATTCTAAGACTTCTCAAACGGCCGTCCAGTAAGCATCTGACTGCTAACCACAAGGTGGGCAGTTCAAGTCCACCAGTTGCTCCTCAGGAGAAAGAGGAGGCTACCTGGTCTTTAAAACTGTAAACTCACTGCCATTGAGTCGGTTCCAATCCTAGTGACCCCGTAGGACAGAGTAGAACTGGCCCTGTGAGTTTCTGAGACTGCGCATCTTTATAGGAGCAGCCTCATAGTTCTCCCCTGGAGCTGCTGGCAGTTTTGAACTGCTGACTTTGTGGATTGCAGCACAACTTCTAACCCACTAAGCCACCAGGAAATCCTATCAAGGCTTGCTATTATTCAGGATGACTAGGTGGCACTGTGTGTGTTTTAGGAAAACCAGGGGGTCTTCCAAGAGTAGAATTCTAAAGGGACGGCTTTCCTAGGAAGACAGCATTCTCAGAGGATGGAACTGCCTGGGGGTCAAAAGTCTGAGGTGGCTAGACCTCCCAGGGGGTCGGAATTCTTGGAGAGTGGGGTCTTCACCCCAAACAGCCCCCAATCCCGGGTCAACAACCAGAGGGGAAAAAAAACTAACAGTAGCTTTTGAATTGCTTCCACCTTAGGACGCCCTCTTGTGTTGCAGATTAGAACTGCGCTCCATGGAGTTGTCCCAGGCTGTGATCCCTCTCGGAAGCAGATGGTCAGGCCGTTTTTCCGAGGTGTCTCCGGTGGGTTTGCCAGTCTTTGGGTCAGTAGGTCAGTACTTACCTGTTGGTGCTCCTAAGGGCTCCAGGTGTGCCCCAAACCAAAACCCCAACTCACTGCCATTGAGTCAGTGCCGGATCAGCCACCTTATACCAGGACAGGGTAGAATTGCCCCTGCCAGTTTCAGAGACTGTAACTCATGACCAGAGTAGAAAGTCCAGTCTTTCTCCCGCAGAGTGGCTGGCGGTTTCGAACAGCTGACCTTGCAGATCCCAGGCCAAGGGTGTAACCGCTAGGCCACCAGGGCTCCTTCTAGGTGTTTCCCCAGGGAGTCAGAATTGTAAACAAGCAAGAACTCCCAAGGGACACAATTTTGAAGGACCAGAAGCTTGGAGAAAAGTCCAATTCTGCGGGGCGGGGAATTCTCAGGCATAGGAACGATTGTGAGGATGACTGCAGGACTGTGCAGTGTTTCTTTCTTTTTTATTTTTTTTGCAGTGTTTCTTTCTGTTGTGCATGGGGTCTTTATGGGTCGGGCACAGAGTCGATGGCACCTAACCACAGGTAGGAATTCTCTTGGGACCAGTTAGACCACTATACTTCCTTCATGAGAAAAAAAAAAAAAATCTTTCGGGCACCTGGGATACCAAGGAGGAGCCCTGGTGGCGCAGTGGTTACGCACTGGGCTCCTAACCACAAGGTCAGCTGTTCTAAACCACCAGCGTTCCCTGGGAGAAAGACGGGGCTTTCTGCTCTCATAAAGAGCTACAGCCCCAGAAGTACACAGAGGCAGTTCCACCCTGTCCTATAGGGTCGCTATGAGTCAGCATCGACTGGATGGTGGTGAAGTTTGGGGACTACCAAGATGGGAGGGGGCGTGGATGAAGGCTCCTGCAAAGTGGAATTGTAACTGAGCAGAGGGCACAAGGGATGGCTTCTTGGTAAAGCGGGACACCATTGATACAACTCATATCCTGGCGAAACAGCGACATAGCAGCTGAAAACCGGGACTTTTTTAAAACGCCGCCGGACGCGGGACAAATTGTTAACAATCGGGACTGTCCCGCCAAAAGCGGGACATCTGGTCGCCTTAATTGGGAGAGCAGTAGGGTTGAAAGAGGAAGAGGGCGGGCAAGGATAGTCTTCCCAGTAAAAAAGAGCGGGTGGCGACACTATGCAGGAGTGTGACAATCTCACACATTGTCACCACATCAGAGATTCTGCCTCCAGGTCTGGCTGCCACCTGTCTCTCTCCCTCCCTTATAGAGCTTTCCTATAGCATCAAAGCCCCTTTTCAATTTTTCGAACCCGCAAGCTGCTGCGAGGGAGAAAGGTGAGGTTTTCTGCTTCGGGACAGATGGACAGTGTGGGAAACCCCAGGGCAGGTCTACTTTGTCCTATAGGGTGAGTGAGGCTGCAGCATGCAGTCAGTAAGGTAAGCACGGACTCACTTGTGCTTACCCAGCGTGCCCAATACCAAGGGTGAGGCCCCCAGGGGCTTATCGCGCCCTCCCATTCCGTAAAGCTCGAAGGAGGCGGAGCTTCCCGAGGGGCGGGGCCTCGAGAGTGATGGACGTTTAAATGGGCGGGCCTTCCCAGAGAACTCGGCAGCGAAGTGGATTCCAAGGGCGGGGCTCCGGGATCACGTCATCAAGGGCCGGGGTCTGGCCAGGAGCTGGCGTCCAGGGGGCGGGGCCACCCTGGAACGTAGCTTTGCAGCACGAGCCGGGCCAGTAGGCGCAGGGACCCGCTCGGCCCCACGGCCCCGTCAGGGGCTGGGCTCACCTGCGGCGCAGAGCCGGTGCATCCGCAGGTAGCTGATGGTGAGGCGCATGATGGAGGCCTTATCCAAGTGGGCGCTGACCCCGCGCGCGAAGGGCAGCGTGTGCGCCAGCTGGTACAGCACTTCGGTCTCCTGGCTGCGCCGGCTGCGGGCCGCGTCCCGGGATTTCTCCTTGCGCAGCTCGGTGCTGGACCTGCGGGCAGGGGCAGCGCTCAGTCAGAAGGGGAGTGGGGAGGGACGGGGGGCGGGTCCAGGGACAGACAGCCCGCGGGGAAGCTGCCCACAGTGTGTGTGTGGGTGGTGGGAGTGGGGGTGAGCAAGGGGTGCTGGATTACAGGAGCCTGGCTGCGTGGCCAGGGCATATATCCAGCGCTCTCTGGACCGAGAAAGATTCCCTCCGGAGCGCTGAGCCTTTTGCTGGGTATCATCATTTGCGACCCGCCGCCACCCTATGCACAGCGGTTCCTAGGCCCGAGCCCATTGCTACAGCCATGGTGTCACCCCATCCCGCTGAGGGTCTTCCCCTGTTTCGCTGCCCCTCTACTTTCCCAAGCATGATGTCCTTCTCCAGGGACTGATCTCCCCTGACAGCATGTCCCAGCTATGTAAGGCGAGGTCTAACCTAGCCCAGGAATTTACCTGTCCGAGAGCCGGCCCATGCTGCATTCCCAGCGCCTGGCTCCTCTCTGAGGCGTGCCCGGGGGCACTCGGTCCCCTCCCTGACTTATCTGTTTATTTCCCAGGCTGGGGGCAGAGAGGCCTCCTGCTAGGAGGGGGCTGACAGAACTGGCTCCCAGCCAAGACAAAAGAGAGCATGAAGCATCTCACGTCTCCTGTCCTACCTCCTGCCGGCCAGAGTCCCCTCCCTGCCCTTTCCCCTCTCAGCGGAGTCTTTGGAATCTTAACAGATGGATCAAAGTCCAGCAGGGTCCCCAGAGGGGCCAGGGCCTCTCCTGGGTGACAAAGCAAACAGACCTCTGGTTTCATTGCCACCCAAGCGAACAGCTCACTGCCATCGAGCCGATGCCGACTCATAGCGACCCTATAGGACAGGGTAGATCTGCCTCTGTGAGCTTGAGACTGTAACCCTTTACAGCATAGAAAGCCCCCTCTTTCTCCTTCGGAGCGGCTGGTGGATTCAAACTGCCGACCCTGCAGTTAGCAGCCCGAGTAACAATTACATTACATAGAACACAGTCTGCCTAATCTTATCAAGATGGAATGAGAAGCCCTGGTGGCACTGTGGGTTAAGCCTTGGTTGGGCTGCTGTTAACCACACGGCTGGCAGTTCAAACCCACTGGCTGCAACCAATAAGGTTGTCTGTTCCGGAAAAGATTTGCAGCCTCGGAAGACAAGTCTCTAACGATTCGATTCCATGGCAGTGGGTTAAGTTTGGGGGTTTGGTTTACAGGGTCAAAGCCATTCATAAACAGCTATGATGTACTAACACTCACCCCTGCCTTGTAATCTACTTCCCAGACCCTAATTCCTCGGGGTATATGTCAGGGGTCAGGTAGAAGTGGGGTGCCAGGACTGAGTTTCATCCTGTCAGAAATATCTGTCATTCCGATGGTGCCAAGGGCTAAGACATTCAGCTGTAAGACCCCATGGTTGGAAGCCAGCCTTCTGGACAAGCTCTGTGTCCCTGTGCTGCTCATAGACACACATAGGCTTCCCCTTAGGGTGGGATCACTTGAAAGCAACCGCGGATGGTTTCCAGTGCTTACTAGTCCATGTTTAGGACAGGCATGTAACTTCACACACATTCAAGTGTTCTAGAAGGTGATAATGTTATCTCTAAGCAACAGGCGAGGAAACCGAGGCACACAGAAGGGCAGTGTGAAGCCAGGCTTGAGGGAGCTCCCTGCGACTCTGGGCGTGTCTCCAGGTTTTAGACCTCTCTGTTTCTGCTAGTCTTGCACGTCAGATCAGGCAGAACTCAAAGTCTGTACGGGTGAGCTTTTGAGTAATTATACCAGAGCATTGGAGCGTATGTTACATCTAAGGAGCATCCGGTGGTGCTGTGGGGTTGATATTGGACTGCCGACCGAAAGGTCAGTGGTTCAAATTCACTAGCGGCTCGGAGAGAGAAGATGAGGCTGAGTGCTGTGGTAAAGATGGACAGCCTTGCACATGGCACATACCATCAACTTGATGGTAGTGGGTTTGGATTTATAAATATCTAATATTATTAAAAACATCAATGCACCAGAAACCCAAACTCGCTGCCAGTGAATCGATACCGACTCGTGGCGACCCCCTAGAGCAGGGTAGGATGGCCCCTTGTGGATTTCTGAGACTAACTCTTTATGGGAGTAGAAAGCCTCGTCTTGCCCCCATGGGGCAGCTGGTAGATTTGAACTGCTGACCTTGAGTTTAGTAGCCCAACTTGTAACCACTATGTCACCCCAAAAAATCCCACTGCCATTGAGTCGATGCCGACTCACGGCAACCCTACAGGACAGGGCAGAACTGCCCCTGTGACTTTCCAAGACTGTAACGCTTTAGGGAAGTAGAAAAAGCCTCATCTTTCTCCCTCTGAGTGGCTGGTGGTTTCCAACCGCTGACTTTGTGGTTAGCAGCCCAACTGCGTAAGCATCACGCCACAGGGGAACAGTCCTAATTTGCTACGACCCCCTGTCTGTCAATTCGTTGTACTATGGTGGACGGTGTGATGGCATGATGGGGGATGTTATGCCACCAGTATTTCAAAGGCCAGTGGGGTTGCTCACAGTGGACAGGTTTCAGTAGACCTCCCAGGCTCAGACAGACTAGGAAGAAAGGCCTGGCAGTCTATGCCTGGAAAGCAGCCGGCGAAGACCCCACAGATCACAAACTATGGCCTGACACGTCCACTCGCTTGCCTTGGATGCGGTATCCGAAGGGATCCGACCGATCAGTGGAGTAAGACATACGATGGCCATTAGGAGGGGGTAGGCCTGGGCAACATTCCTTTTTTTCTGTAACCCACAAGGTTCGACAGGAGTCATGTTCGACAGGACAGACAGCAACGGACACCACCAACATTGTGTGCTAAGTGTGCGTGGGCAGGGCACTGGCTAATTGCCTACAGCGTATGTCCTTAGCTTTCCAGAGAGCCCAAGAAAGGAGGGCATCTTAAACCTCCATGCCACAAGGGGGAAATGGAGGCTCTGAAAGGTGAAGTTCTTTGCTCAGTAGGGCACAGAGCCAGCCACTGGCCAAGCTGGGATTTGAACCTGTCCAGTGAGTGGCACCATCTGGCAAGCACTGGACTGCTAACTGGCAGTGTGGTGGTTCAAACCCACTAGGTGTCTCCTGGGAAGAAAGAAGAGATCACCTGTTCTCATACAGACCGACAGCCTTGGAGCCCGTATCCAGGGTCCCTGTGGTTGGAATTGACTTGATAGAGTGGGGTTTTTGATTTGATTTTACTGAAGTTGTAAAACCTCCCTTCTTCTTTGATCCCCCTCCTAGGAGTGACTCACCCCAAGAAAGCAGAACCTGTAGGCTAGGGGTGGGAGAGGGCTCCCAGCACAGTCAGAGGCCCGTTTCTGGGAGTGGCATCAGCCCTCCTCCTGGGAGAATGAGACTTGCAGGCCCATCCCCAGGCAAAAAGGCAGAGAGGGCAGCGGATATTTCTGACTGTAGAACAGAAAAAAAAAAAAAGAAAGAAACTCTACAGGGTGGGGGAGACACAGCAAGGGGCAGGCTGGGTGGGGGTTGGGGGTTGGGAGTGAAGCTCTAGAAGGGTCTTCCCCTCCCTCCTGGCTGGTGGGGGTCAGGGGCCTCTAGCCCTGCCTTGCCCTGCCCGCCCCAGGACATTTTGTCCTGTCCTGTTCTGTCCCAGTGTTTGTCTTCCGGCCCAGAGGGTGGGGGTGGGCGGGCCTCAACACTCTGGGGCCCCCAACAGAGGGAGAACAGGGAGTGGAAACTGGAATGGGGGTGGAGGCGGCCCCCCACGTCCCAGGCAGCTGGGCTCTGTAATCCTCTCTCTGGGCCTGGGCCACAGAAGGAGCCAGCTGGGGACGGCAGAGGGATCCTCCTGCCTGTACCCTGCCTCTTCCCGGGTGTCCTTCAGAGGGTATATGGGTGGGCCTCTCACGGCCTCCCACGGAGATTGGCTTTCCTCGGTTGAATAAAGCAAGCCAACCTCCAGGAGTGGCGCCCGAGTGGCCACTAGTGCCAGCTGCCTGCCAGCGTGCCAGGCCTTTCTTCCGAGGCACTTGGGGTGGATCATCTGGGTTAACTGAGCGCTTAATCATTTGCCCCGAAACCCCAACTCAAACCAAACCCACTGCTTTCAAGTAGCGATTCCCAGTGACCTTATAGAACAGAGTGGAGCTGTCCCCCTGCGGCCACAGTGGCCGATGGGTTTGAACCTCTGGCCTCTTGGTTAGCAACCGAGGGCTTAGCAGTGTGCCACCGGAGCACCTTCATTTGCATAAAACCCACAACTGTGGGGTCGGTTCTGACTTATAGTGACCCTCTTCAGGCAGAGTAGAATTTCTCCCTGAGGTTGTAGATATTTACAGATGTTGGAAGAAAGCCTCATCTTTCTCCCACAGGGCAGTTGGTGGGCTTTGAACTGCAGAGCTTGTGGATCGCAGAGCGCTGCTTATCCCACAGCGCCACCAGAGCTCCGTTCATTTGGGTCGAGTAGGGGCTGGTTTAGGCATGGCCTCTAATCCTGCTTCCACCACCAGTCAGCTGGGGGACTCTGGGCAAGTTGTACAGCCTCTCTGTGCACAGTAGGGTCTTTCTTATTTTTTAAACCACGGTATCTTGAGAATTAAACATGTCAACGACTTCGGACCCAAACTCACTGCCATTGAGTCAATCCTGACTCATAGTGACCGTGTAGGACAGAGTAGAACTGCCCCTGTGGGTTTTGAAGCTGTAAACCGTCAGGGGAGTAGCAAGCCTCACCTTTCTCTCTCCGAGCGGCTTCGGGAGGGGGGTTTGAACGGCTGACCTTGTGGTCAGCAGCCTAATTCGAAATAGTGGCTAGGCATTGCATAGCTAACCGCAAGGTCTCTGAGCCGGCAACTCTTTCTGGAAGCAGACAGCTTCATCTTTCCGCCTGGGATTCAAACCGCTGACCTTGTAGTTCGCCACTCAGGGCACAGTGGCTGCAGCCATTGACTCAAGCAGACCAAGGGTCATGAGAGGTGGCACAGGACCAGGTAATGCTTCATACTATTACACATCAGGTTGCTAGGAGTCAGACCCGGCTTGACAGCCACTAACAACGAAAACTACCACACAAAAAAGGTTAAAGGTTACTGTTACCCTTCCTTTGCCCACATCAGGATGAAAGGGCCAGGCTTAGGAGCCCCCTGAGTACTAGAGTCACACATGTGGACACATGGCATACGAGTACATACGTGGCTAATATACCTGGGGTGGGTCCTCGCTATGATCAATCACAGAGACAGTTCTTGCTACTCACTGCCCTGGAGTTGATGTGTGGGTTTCCGGGTGGCCACTTTCCACGGGACCAAAAAGCCCCACTTTTCTCGACACCACCGCCCAGCTCCGCGGGAGAAAGGCGGGGCTGTCCACGTCCACAAAGAGTCGCAGTCTCGGAAACCCATGTCCTGCAGACCCGCCGCGGACATCCACGATGGCTGTGCGTTTGGTTTCGGGTTTGGGAGACCTTGCGCTTTGCAGCCCGATGCGTAACCACGACGCCTCCAGGGCGCCGCTGGTCCTTGTTAGGCACCTTCAAGCATGTTCCGACTCCCTGGGGCTTTATTAGAGAGAAACGTTGCCACCCGCCAATATTTCGCAGGCGAGCGGGGTGGGCGGGTTTCTGCAGTTTCCAGACTCAAACCAACTGGGCCTTTTCTTCCGCAGCAATGCCTGGCGAGTGTGAACCGCCATCTTTTTTTTTTTAGCCTAGCGCTCAAGTGGAAACCGTTGGTGCCACCTGAAAACCCCAAACCCCACTGCCACCAAGTTGATTCCAACTATAGGACAGTAGAACTGCCCCTTTGGGTTTCTGAGACAGAGACTCTTTACGGGAGCAGACAGTCTCATCTGGCCCCGGTGGAGCGACTAGTGGGTTCGAACCTCAGGCCTTGCCACCATTCAATCATTGAAAAGACTCTATAGAGTGAAAAGCAAAAAACCTCACTGCTCTCGAGGGGATTCCGACTCCTATAGGGCAGGGTAGACCTGTTCCTGTGTGTGTCTGAGATTATAACTCTTTATGGGAGCAGAAAGCCTCGTCTTGCTCCCAAGGAGCGGCTGGTGGTCTCGAACTGCTGAGCTTGCAGTTCGCAGCTCCCTGTGTCCCAACTACGCCACCAGGGTTCCTAAGTAGTAGCAACACCCAACCAAAGCCACAGCATCCGTGTGAGATTCCACCTCATAGTGCTTAACCCACCTCACCACCAGGGCTCCGTTGTCAATAGTGGAGCAGAGAAGAAGGGGGTGAGGTTTGCTGGGCTACTCAGATTGGGCAGGGAAAACCGAGGGCCTGGGGCACATCCTGGGGCCCCATGGGAGTGGACCCAGGGTCCCGCTCCCTCTGCCTTCATCGGGCTGCACCTACAGGATGACCCACCCTGCTGTTTGTTACCTTCCTGGTTCCCCATCTAGATCCTGTGTGGGGAGGTTGGGGGAGGGAATGTGGAGACCAGACCCCCATTTGCCAAGATAGGAAAGCCTTCCAGAGGCAGTTATGGGCGCAAGGGCCACATGGCTAGCAACCAGGTGAGCTGACCTTTGAGCTCTGACTTGGGGACTCCTGTGCTTGAAAGTCATCCCTTGGTAGGCCTGCCCAACTCAAGGTCCCTCTCCCCTGCCTCTCCTTCCCACCAGCTCTGAGCTCTTCCTAGGCTGCCTCTGGATCTTCCCAGCTGGCCGGTCTCCCCTGCTGGCCCTGAGCCCAGGCCTGGTCCAGCCCCCTGGCGTTGTGCCCAGCTCGGGACGTGCAGCTGGAGTGCTGCCACCCTTCCTCCGTGTTCCAGCCGAGAACAGGGGCGGGGCTGGGCCTGAAGGCCCCGAGACAGGGGCTTGGGAATGGGGGCTGCGGCCTGGCAGCCCCCAGCCTGGGGAGCGAGAAACCCACATCTTTCCTGCTCCGAGGAGCTCACCACCCTCCAGAAATGGCATGGAGAAGATGCGGGAGACCCTATCCCACATGCAGGACTGTTCCTGTACCTCCAT